GCCGCAGGACTCCACTGCCGCCCGCGCCCCGCCCCATCTGGCCGCTTGCGCGCCCCATCCCCCCTCGATGGGGCCCGCCCACACCGGGGCCTCCCCCCTCCCGCCCACTGCTTTCTCAACGGCCCCGAGCCGGGGCTGCCCTCATTGCATACATAGTGCGCCTTTCCCTGCTTTTCTAGTGACCTAGCGTTCCGCACTGCCGTTTGGCCAGCCCATGCTCCCGTACCGTTGCGTTTCTCCCCAATGCGCCATGCCACTTTGCCAGTCATACACACGTTTCGATGCGTGCCCTGTCAGCTGCTTGCGTTGCATGTCGCCTTGCTCCACCCCTGTTTTATTGCTTTCTCTGCTTTCGCCCGGTTCCCGTCCCGTTTCGGCGGGGAGTCTATGTTGCAAGCTAGTTCTTGCTTTACCAGACTTTAAGCCCACACAAGCAACTGCCTGGCCGGTTCATTTGCCAATGCCACGGGCTCCATCCAGTGCCAGCCATGCCCGCCTGGATCTGTTACCGATGAACCTGGCTCGGCATCATGCATGGCAAGCAACAGCAGCTGACCCAATCATTGCAGCAAGCTGCACCTATGCGGCAACTGCCTGTTGCGCACGTTGTTGCTGTGGCGCACTTGCCTTGCTGGTGGCTTCTCGCGCGTGTGCCCCTGTTGCTCACCTGCTCCCTGCCCTGCTGCGCACTGTGCCTGCCGCAGCCGTGCCCAATTGGCAAGTTTTCCAATGCCACAGGCGCCATTTCCTGCCAGAACTGCCCTATGGGCGCCGCATCCGGCTATTCCCAGCCTGTCACAAGCTGCGAGGTGGGTGTGAGCGGCTCGATACGATGAGGCCACTCGGGGTCCTCTTTCCGGCATATCTCACGCCACTGCCTGTTCCGCGTATGCAGCCCTGCCCTGCTGGAACCTTCCAACCAAATGATGGCCAAGCCACTTGCCTCACCTGCATCCCTGGGACATATCACAACACATCCGGCTCAATTTCTTGCCTGCTGTGCCCACTGGACACCTTTGCTGACACCTATGGTTCACCCATCTGCCAGGTGTGCTGCAGCTGTGTGTGTTAACGTTGCTACCCTGCTTTGTCCCTGCTTTGTCCCTGCTGCACCTGATGGCTGGATAATCCAGTAATCCAGGACAATGCGGACTGAACATGAGGTCAATGCTACACTCCTTTGTGCACTGATTTTCTACCCTCTTGCCCCCCTTCCTGGCTGTGCAGAGCTGCCCCGAGGGCACCGGCACTAACAACACTGGTGCCTTTGCACAGTCTGACTGCCTTCCCGTGAATGGCACGGTGAGTGTGGGTGGGCCTGCCGTTGGTTTGTGGGCTGTTTGGTGAGGTGGCTTTGCTTTGAGGTGCAACTGATGGCTGTGCTGCAGGCCTGCCCTGCTGGGAGC